AGAGCCCTAGGTCGGATTGGGAATTTGTGTTATGATGTTCTTGACATATACTTGGGTGGGAATTCACATGTTCGGGTGTTGTTTATGTTTAGAAGTCATAATAGGATGAGTTCTACGTGATTCTTGCTTTTGATCCAATAATTGCCTACGTGATGTCGTTAATTGCATTTAAAAGTGTCTAAGTATGGTTTCGGGTTCCACAACGGATCCCGGGATGAATTTATGATAAAAGAGTCAGTGGGGGGCGGGTAGGTGGGGGTAGGGGAACCGCCACCTACCCGCTGCCCAAAGATCACCGCCGGGCAGAAGCCTGCCCGCCGGCAACCCGCTGCCCGAACAGTGATCTCCGGCGAGCAGCCGGCGGGTGACCCCCACCCACCGGCTACCCGCTAGTCCATACCCCACCCCGGGTCTTTGGCTTCCCCGTTTGATGTTCCCCGCTCCCCCATGGTGTCCCAACGGACCCCGTTTGCCGTGCTTGAGTCTAGTTTGATATTTCGGGTACCATTCGTAGGTTAAATGAGTCTTAGTAATTGCATGCTAGTGGAATTGGTAACCCGTTGACCTAGGTGGAAGTTGTATGAACCCTTAGGACTATTCTTAGTATGTGAATGACCACACGTGAGTTTATTTATATGTCTTTCTCTCCCAATATGCTATTACGTGCTCCTATGTGTTATGTGTTGCATGATCCCCCATTTTGGTTACAGACCAATTGGGTGATTCCCGGACTGAGGTTCGGAAGTTGGCTGAAGGCCGAATGGATTGTTCCCGGACTAAAGGTTCGGAAGTGACTGAAGGCCAAATGGATTGTTCCTGAGCTAAGGCTCAGAAGTTGGCTAAAGGCCGAATTGATTCACTTCTTGGGCTGCAGTCCACATGGGTCTCGGTGCTATGACCCACCGACCTGGACGCCCCAGGCGGTGTGTAGGGCCAATAAGCCGAGGAAGGCTATAGTCCACCGACCTGAGTAATCAGGCAGTGTGTAGGGCTACGGCTGGCTGCGATCCACCGAGTGATGGGACAGCGGTGTGTAGGGCCGTAGTCTCCGAGGATCTTCGCCTACCGACTGAGCCTAGCTCAGCGGTGTATCGGGCTTGATCCGCTACGGTCCACCGACTGTACGCATCAACGGTGTGTAGGGTCGTAAGTCCCCCTTGTAAAGGGGATCGCGATCCACCAACTGTGCGCGTCAGCGGTGTGTCGGATCGTGGTCCGACGTTGAGTTCGTCAGCGGTTCTTAAAGGGTTGGTTGCGATTAACTCCCCTCATACCACGGTACTGAGGTAGGGTGCTGCGGGGCCGTGTTAATGCTATAAGCATTAACCCTCATGTTCGGGGCATGCGATTAGTCCTGTGGCGCCATCAACGATTATGTGATATGAATGATGATTGAATGGTGATGTGTTTGAATCAAAAAGTGTTCTGTGACCTTAGATGCGTATTCCTTATAATGCTATCTCTACTTAACTGTTTATCATTGTTTGATGTGCGTGTCCCTACTTGCTGAGTCTATTCCCGGTTTTAAAACTAGTGTCTCTTAAGTATATATCTTCCTGCTTCAAAATGATTTTCGTATATCTATATATATATATCTATCTATATTGTATTTCAACGCGTTGGAGTGGGTTACCAGCATCTCTCGCTGAACAGATATATTTGGCTTTCAGGCACAGATGAGTAGATCCCAGAGCGCGCTAGAGATCCGAGGCATAGAGTAGCTAGTTCCCTTTCGGCCTGCGTGCCATGACTATGTATTGACGTTATTTGAGGATTCTAGTTAGTAAGCCTGTGCACCTGAGTTCTCTAGCTCAGGTGTGGCATAGCACCCCATACTCTTATGCTTGATTTTGGGATTTAATGAGGAATTACCTTTATTATATAAGTTTTAAAAGTTTCAAAATTTCGGGGTGTTACATGAGTGGTGGTTCCTGGACATATGAACAGAGTTTGCTTATTATGCAGAAGGTTGAGCCGGGTGATGATCGGGAGACTATTCCTTTGAATCATGCGGAGTTTTGGGTGCAGATACATTCATTGCCGGTAGGCCTACGCTCGGATGCAGTTGTCTCCGCTATCGGTTCGTTTTTGGGGACTCTGGCATCTACGGATGAGAACAATTTTGGGGGAGAAATGAGGACTTACTATCGAGTCCGTGTGGCTATAGATGTAACCAGACCTTTAAAGAAGCAGATGAAGCTAAGGAAGGATAATGTATCGTGGGATCTGGTTGATTTCAGGTACGAAAGGCTGCCAACTTTCTGTTTTCTCTGCGGGATCATCGGGCATGGTGATCGAGTTTGTCCAAGAATTGCACAGGGGGTGGATATCAAGGCTGAGAAACCCTATGGGTCGTGGCTCAGGGCATGGTCTCGTAGGAATACCCCAACAGCAGGGCAACGGTGGGTAGCGCCTGAACTGGATGTAGACCGTAAGGAATGGAAGGCGCCTGGCATGTTAGTGAATGATGTGCCGGAAGATACTGGGGCAGGTCTTTCGTATGTGGCTACAGATTCGAAGAGGAAGAGAGTTGATGCGGACAGTACATCTGGGGAGGATGCTCATAATGATATGGAGACTGAAGATGGGGTTCCAAAAAACTGCCAGACGGCGGGTGTTGTTTCGAACGCCAGCTAAGAAATATGAGTATTTTGGCATGAAATTGTCGGGGGCTTGGCAACCCTACGGCAATTCGAGTTCTTGCGGACGTAGTTCGCGCTAAACGGCCACGAGTGGTTTTTTTAATGGAAACCTTCGTTGACAGACACAGAATGGAGAGTGTGCGAGTGCAGTTGGGTTTTGACAGTGTTTTTACAGTTGATGCAGTTGGGCACAGTAGGGGCCTAGCAATGTTGTGGACTAGTACAGTGGAACTCCAGGTTATTTCTTATTGCAGCAACTACATTGATGTTACGTTGAGCCTGGATATGGGTGGCTCTGTTTGGCGCTACACGGGGTATTATGGTTACCCTGAGAGAACACGGAGAAGGGAAGCTTGGCAATTGCTCCGCCATCTTGCGAGCCAAAGTACTATGCCGTGGGTAATAATAGGCGACTTCAACGACCTGATGTACCAGTCAGAGAAACGGGGTCGTGCCCCTCATCCACCATGGTTGCTAAATGGGTTATGTGATGTGGTCACTGATAGTGGCCTGCAAAATTTCCCTTTCAGCGGCAATCAGTTCACTTGGGTACGGTCTCCAGGTACAAGCAACATGATTGAGGAGAAGCTGGATAGGATTCTGGTCTCGGATAATTGGCTCACGTTGTTTGGGGGGACAACAGCTACATCCTTGGTTGTCCCATACAGTGACCATTGGCCTCTAATGTTGACACCGGTGGCAACGGTTAATGGTGTCCAACGTAAGCGCTTCCTCTTTGATAGTATGTGGTTGAAAGAAGACAAGTGCCGCGAAATAGTAGCTCATAGTTGGGAGCGCACGATGGGTATGGATGTTCCTGCGAATTGAATGTTGTGGTAAGGACATCTGGCGTTGGGGGAAGACCTATAACAAAGATTTCCAACGTCAGATCGAGAGCTGTAAACGGAGAATGGAGATTCTGCGATCACGTCGTGATGAGGGCAGTTTGGTGGATTATGCTAATACTGAACGAGAGCTCCTTCACTTGTTACATCAGCAACACCTGTTTTGGAAGCAAAGGGCGAAGGAACATTGGTACAAGGGCGGCGATCTGAATAGCAAGTTTTTTCACAATTCGGTGAAATCAAGGAGAAGGAGGAATAAAATTAAGAAGCTAAAGGATGATGCTGGGAACTGGTACGAAAGGGAGGAGGAGATCAGGAACATTATGCAGAGCTATTTTGAAAACTTGTTTGAGTCAGATCAAGGGGATATGGCTGAGGTTATTGATGCCATTTTGCCGAAAATCAGTGCATGGGATAATCAACTGCTTCTGCGCCCAGTGAATATGGAGGAAGTGAAGAAAGCCGTGTTCCAGATGCATCCAGATAAGTCGCCAGGGCCAAATGGGCTTGGCCTGGGTTTTTTTTCAATTTTATTGGGATATTGTTGGGGAGGCAGTAACTTCATTTTGCATGGATTTCTTTCAAACAACTACTCTCCCAACAAGAGCTAATGAGACTTATATTGTTTTGGTCCCTAAAAAAACAATCCCAGAAAGTATGAAGGACTTACGACCGATAGCGTTGTGTAATGTGGTCTACAAAATCGCAGCAAAAGTCTGTGCTAACACGCTAAAATCTTTATTAGAAGGAATAGTTTCACATGCCCAGAGCGCGTTTGTTCCGGGCCGTCTCATTACGGATAACATTATGCTGGCATACGAGGCCTATCATTACCTACAGCAGAAAACCCAGGGGGAGGAAGGAGTTGTGGCGTTGAAGGTCGGTATGAGTAAAGCATATGACCGTGTAGAGTGGGGTTTTCTTGAGGTTGTAATGGTGAAACTAGGGTTCGAAAGAATATGGGTTGACATGATTATGGAGATAGTTCCGTGAAGTACAATATTTTGTATGAGCAGAATCAACTTGGTCCTATTATGTCGGGGCGAGGGCTGCGTCAAGGAGTTCCCCTTTCACCTTACCTGTTCTTGCTGATTGCCGAGGGCTTAAGTGTGTTGATAGAGAAGTATATGAGTATGGGAAGCTTGCACGGGATTCGTGTGGCCCGGAGAGCACCGCCAATATCACACTTGCTCTTTGCGGACGAGTGTTTTTTGTTCCTACGGGCCAATGACCGGGAAACTGATTGTATGAAGAATGTGCTGGACATCTATTCGCGAGCCTCAGGGCAGAGTATTAATTATGAGAAGTCTATGGTCAGTTATAGTGCTAATGTACCACAATCAGTACGTAGCACGGTTACCCATTCACTTGGGGTGACCGAGGGCAATACGGCTAGTAAGTATTTGGGGTTGCCATCCCTTGTGGGGAAAAGGAAGAAGCAGATACTAGGTTTCCTGAAGGATAGAATTATGGCGAAGGTAAGAAGTTGAAATGCTAAAATGTCATCCAAGCAATGCCCAGCTATGCGATGCTGGTTTTCCTTTTGCCACAAGGAATTTGTAGGGAGATTGAAACCTTGATGAATGAGTACTGGTGGACCGGAACTGTGGGGAATGGCAGGGGTTTAAGATGGAGATCATGGTCTGGCTTGACAGCTCCAAAAACGGCTGGAGGGATGGGTTTCCGTTCTCTTCATGAAATGAACTTGGCTTTATTGGGGAAGCAAGCTTGGATATTAGTCACTAACCCCACGTCTTTGGTGGCGCAGGTATACAAAGCCCGATATTACCCGAACTGCTCATATTTTGAGGCGGATGCAGGTTGTAACCCGTCCTTTATTTGGAGAGATTTAATCAAGGTCCAGGATGTGCTCCGGGTAGGTTGTAGGCGGAGTATCGGGAATGGTCTGCAAACGACAATAGGAAAGCATCCATCGTTGCCTACGGATAGCGGACCGTGGATAACAACACCTGTGTGAGGAGGTTTTTCAGTCACTGGTGGCCTCTTTGTTTAATGCCCAGGGCACAAGGTGGGATGTGAATCGTATTCAGAATACTTTTGAAAACCGTGACGCCAAGTTAATTCTGAATATACCCATCTTAGTTAGGAAGATAAGGGACTCGTGGTACTGGTACTGGGATGCGAAAGGAGCTTATACTGTCAAGACATGCTATAAGCGGTTGAAGGGTGAGTTAACTAATGTCCGGCCTTGGTCTCGTTTATGGAATGTTAATGTGTCACCGAAAGTTAAGCACTTTTGTGGGCAGTTAGCATATTCTTTTTTTGCCAACTAGAGATGCCCTACAATCTAAGAATATTCATTGTGCATTGGTGTGTCACATGTGCAGGAGGGAACCAGAGAGTGCATTCCACTTGTTTGCACAATGTACTGAGGTGACGAAACTCTGGGGTCTGATTGGCGTTCCAGCAAACGGAACAATGTATGGTAATGTTATTGACTGGTTTTTTGCCTTATTATCTAGCTTGAATGGTGAACGGTTAGAAAGATTTATAGTGGCGAGTTGGGGTTGGCAGAGCCGTAATAATTGTGTGTGGAAAGGAATTTTTGATGCTGATTTAATGGTGCGTCGTTTTCTCTCTTTCTGGAGGAATTGGTCTGAGGTTAACAATGAAAATCATGCAGGCCACCGTACTGGGGGGAAGTGTAGGTTGGTCACGGCCGGAAGAGGGAAGGTTGAAGTTGAACACGGACGCTTTGCTTAATGTAGTAGCTGGTACTATGGGGTTTGGTTGGGTTTTACACTTTTACGTGATCATCATGGAGGGTTCTTGGCGGCGAAGAACATGCATGCTTGTACATGGGTCTTACACCATCAATGAAGCTGAAGCAATATGCCTACGAGAGGCTCTAAGCTGGCTAAAGAATACGGGGATGGGCGGAGTGGATGTGGATATGGACTCGCAAAACGTTTTTTATTCTATTTTTAGTCATACTTTTAATTCAACTTTTGGTTTTATTATTGATGATGTTAAAGAATTGGCATCGATGATTGATGATGTTAAATTCTGTTTTACTAAACGATCTGCGAACTATGCTGCTCACACTGTTGCTAGAGAGGCTACTTCTGATGCAGGTTGTGGGGAGTGGTTTGATACCCCTCCTTCTTTCTTGGTGAACTGTCTTTTACGTGATTTAATGCATTGATGTTTATTTTTCAATAATAATAATAATAATAATAATAATAATAATAATAATAATAATAATAATAATAATAATAATAATAATAATAATTGTTTTAATAATATTTTTTTAAAAAAATATAGATGTGTTTTGGGGAAATCATTCTCAAAAACGCTAATGGGGTGTTTGGTTGGGAGGAAGGAAATAGGAAGGAAAACAATTGCAATTCGTTGGAAAAAGAATAAGGTAGGAATAATGTAGGAATTTAAATTACATTTGGTAGGGAATATCCCGACCGACATAAGCTCCGCCACGACCGACTCGCCTTTGTCTTTCTCTTTTGATCCTTGCAGGTAGCAGGTCGGGCTTTTTTCATAGAGATCCCGGTCGGGAACGGCCGGAAGTTGCCCGAACGCTGGTGTCGACCACCGAGCGGTAGCCCTTCGACGAAAGAGCTGGCAAAAAGGACGCGAAAGGACGCGTGGCGGCTCTTCATGGCGACAGACAGGGCACCCGGGAGGATGACACGTGGTGGCTACGTGGAAGACATGCCGAGCAGCCGGAATCTTGTCCCCGGCACAGCGGCTATAAATGCCCACAGTAGCTACAGTGTAGAGGACTTTTGGACGATCGATAGGTTGTTGTTAGAGAATCCCGACCGCACTCAGTCGGTACTCAGAGCAACCAAGTAGATTGTACTTAGGGCCTTTACCGTGATCAATAAAGATTTTACTTGCTTTAATTGGTCTCGTGTTATTTTATATTGCTTACATATAATTAGCAGTATCATTTTGGCGCCGTCTGTGGGGAATCGTACGAGAAACCAACGTCTTGACGAGCACCCGGTCTCTATACCAACATGTATCCGTGGGCACACAACAACTTTGCCGACGACCAGGCGGACGCGGCGAGCTCCTCCGACCACTATGCTACCCAACAGCAGGGTCAGACAATGGACCTCAACCTCAACCTCTCACCACCGCATCCGTCAAATACATACCCGGCCGCCCAGCAGCCGGTGAATTACATACAACCGGGATACCCACCACCCGGTCTGCCATACCAGCAGCAGCCGATGATGTATCCCGCCCAGTATCCGTACCCGGTCCCACCTCCACCGTATGGGTATTGGCCAGGCCAACCGATGTGCTACACTTCCCCGGTTGGTTATCCACCATATACGCCTGCCTATACAGCTCCAGCCGCCGCCCCTCCAGTACAACCGACCGCACAAGTAGAGCCGCAGCGTCAGTCCACATCCCGGGCTCGACGCTCGGCTCATTCGCGGTTGGGGTCGGGGGGTGCTGATGCGATGGAGGCACCAGCTCAGGCCGTTCAAGCGGAGGACCCTGAAGAAGTTGCCCGAGCGGTAGCTTTTGATCGTCTCCGACCAGAGATGCGCCAGCGTTTGGGACCCCAAGACCCGAATCGCGGGCAAGAGGACGTACAAATGCAGGAAGCTAGCCACGAGGCTTCATCCGGGTATAGCGGGTCGAGATCTCACCGACGGCGACGCGCTCGGGATACAGCCCAAGCCGCTCAAGCCGCCGAGCTCAACGAAACCCGAGGATTGCTCTACAACCTCCAGGCTGAAGTTGCGCAGCTCAGGAGTGCATATCCTACAGCACCCCCGGCCGACCGATCGACCCTACACCAGACGCCTTTCACAGCAGCGGTAATGGCTCAGCCTTACCCGCTCGACTTAAAGGTCTCGGGAGAGAAGAGTTACGACGGTCGGACAGATCCTGAGGCTCACGTGAATGATTTTTTCAGCAATATGATGCTGAAGGGCGTTTCAGACGCCGTGATGTGCAGGGCCTTCTACTCAACCCTCACCGGTCGGGCGGCAGAATGGTTCCGAACCCTGCAGCCGGGGTCAATCGACAAATTTGAGACCCTGGCGATCAAGTTTGTACGGAAGTTCATTACTTCCAAAGTGGTGAGGAAGTCCTATATGTACCTCGAAAAGGCCAAGCAGCTCGAAGGGGAAAGCTTGACCGACTTCCTCATCAAGTGGAAGGCGGCGGTCGGGGAGGTCGAGCCCATGGATGATGCGACCGCCACTCACATGCTTCACATCTCCCTCCGGGCGGGGTATCTATACCAGGATTTTATCCTCCACCCCCGACCACCTATGAGGAGGCCCTCCGAAGGGTCACTGATTATGCCAACGCAGGTGAGGCGAATGCTGTCAAGCGCTCGCAGGAGGTTGGCTCTTCGTCCCGTAAACCGGCCAGCCGGGCAGAACATCGATCGGGAGATGACAATCCCCGACCCCGCACCAGGCATGGCGAGTTTACGGCCTTGAACCGATCCGCAGCGGAGGCCATGCAATATGCCCAGTCCTGCAATCTCATCAAACTTCCCCATCCCGATCGAGACGGCCCCGACAAGAGTAAGCATTGTGCTTACCATCGATGCGCCGGGCATGACACCGAGGAGTGTACCCACTTGCGCCAATTATTGGAAGATTTGCTCAATTTGGGAAAATTAGACAAGTGTGTGGGGAAGAGAGAGGAAAACAAAAGGAACACCGATCGGCGGGATCATAGACGTTCCCATCACCGCTCTGATCGATCTGGGCAAGACAGAAGGGATGATCGTCATGATGACCGACGGGACCCCGACCCTCCGTCCGGTAGCCGCCCGTCCGGAAAGCCTACCATCCACGTCATTTTTGGCGGGCTGGAAGACGCTTCCCGACCGCGGACTAATTGCCCGGTCGCAATAGTGGATTCCCGGGGAACCGGGAAGAGGCAGAAGATGGAACCCATAACCTTCACCCTTGAGGACCAACCTACCAGCAGTGATCACGGCATGGAGGCGCTCGTGGTCACGATCGACGTTAAGGGGACAGACGTCCAGAGGGTTATGGTTGACACGGGCAACAGCGTGAACGTCCTATACTTGGACGTGTTTGAGAAGCTTGGCCTTGACAGGAAGGAGCTGACGCCGGTCGGTGTACCACTGTCAGGATTTACCGGGGCTCTTATTTACCCCGAGGGAAAAATAACGCTCCCGGTCGAGATCGGCACACCTCCAAAGTCGATCCAAACGGAGCTGGAATTTGTTGTGGTCAACCTCCATTGCGTCCACAACATTATCTTGGGCCGACCCGCCATTATGAAGATCGGTGGGATAATTTCTATGCCCCACCTGTGCATGAAATTCCCCACCCCTAACGGGGTCGGCGTGGTCCGTGGCGATGTCCAATCCGCCCGGAAGTGTTACACCCGAGCGGTTAATAGACGTGATTCCGGTCCATCTTCCCGGGTGAACACTATAGCCAAAGAGGAGGCTAAGGAACGGAAGGAGCAGCCCGAGCCTTCCGAAGAGATAGAAGAAGTTCCCCTGTCCGAGGGCCGCCCTGACAGGAAGATTAAGATTGGCCGAGCCCTCACTCCCGAGCTCCGAGCGGAAGTTTTGGCTGTACTTCGGGAATACGCTGATATCTTTGCGTGGGGGCCCGAAGACATGCCCGGGATCGATCGGTCGGTCATCTGTCACAAGTTAGCCGTCGATCCCGCAGCAAAGCCGGGCGTGCAGAAAACACGACACCTTTCCTCCGATCGCCGTGAGTTTGTCAGGGAGGAAGTCAAAAAGATGGCGGCAATCGAGCACATCCGTCCGGTGATTTATCCCAAGTGGGTGGCAAATATCGTTCTTGTCCCGAAGCCCCCAGCATGGAGGATGTGCATCGATTTCACGGACCTCAACAAAGCCTGTCCGCTCGACCCGTATCCTCTACCAAGCATTCACCAGATGGTCGACGAGACGGCCGGGGCCGAGTTAATGAGCTTCATGGATGCCTTCAAGGGGTACCATCAGATCATGATGCACCATGAAGACGAGAGCAAGACAGCCTTCGTGACCCCGGATGGGCTGTATTGTTACCGAGTGATGCCGTTCGGTCTGCGGAACGCAGGAGCCACCTACCAGAGGATGGTCAACATGCTCTTTGCTGATCTGTTGGGCCGAACGATGGAAGCTTACATCGACGATATGTTGGTCAAGAGTCGGGACCGATCCGACCACACTCGGGACCTTCGGGAGTGCTTCCAGATCATGAGGAAGTACCAGTTGCGGCTGAACCCGACCAAGTGTACATTCGCGGTTCAGACCGGCAAATTCCTCGGATATATGATGACCAAGAGAGGAATCGAGCCTAACCCGGCCAAAGTAAAAGCGATTCTGGACATGCAGCCGCCTTCCACCGTCCGGGAAGTCCAGCAATTGACCGGTCGGTTGGCAGCCCTCAGCCGGTTCCTCTCCAAGCTAGCCGAGCGCGCTTTACCTTTCTTTAAGGTATTGCGGAAGGTTAACGGATTCGTCTGGGACGAAGAATGCCGAGTGGCTTTTGACGAGCTGAAGGAATATCTCATGTCACCAATCGTGCTCTCAAAGCCCGAGCTCGGAGAAGAGCTGGACGTATACCTCGCCGTGTCCGATCGCGCAGTAAGCGCAGTATTGTGCCGAACCGATCCGGAAGGGGTCCAGCGACCGGTGTATTATGTAAGTCACGCGCTACATGGTCCCGAGCTCCGGTACTCCCGACTAGAGAAGGTCGTCTACGCCTTGTACATTGCCGCGAAGAAGTTGGCTCCCTACTTCCAGGGTCGAGCAATTCGCGTGTTGACCGATCAGCCGATCGGTCCAGTCCTCCGAACTGCTTCATCATCAGGTCGCCTAGTCAAATGGGCGCTAATGTTGACCCAGTACGCGATCGAATACCGACCAAGACCGGCTATTAAAGGTCAAGCTCTAGCGGACTTCTTGGTTGAGTGCACCGCCCGGGATACCCGGCCTCCTGAGGTTGCGGATCCCGAGGCTGAGTGGTGGTCGTTGGCTACTGACGGGTCAAGTAGCAAAAAAGGAGCAGGGGGAGGAGTAGTAGTCACGAGCCCAGAAGGATTCAAAGTCTATTTTGCTCTCATGTATCAGTTCCACCCGACCAACAACGAAGCCGAGTATGAGGCATTTGTAAATGGCTTGCAATGCGCTCGGGACTTGGGGGCTGAATACAT